CGTATAAAAGCTGCGAAACGGATGCCTGCGATAACAGGAATCCAACAATATCAGATTAGTTAAAGCCTTGTAGTAATTCTAAGTCTTTTTTCGTAGGCACAAAACGGAACAAATTGGAATTACTACACTATTGTGTACTGACTATTGTTGGACAAATCATGAGATATTCTCTACACAATAACATGGACAGAGTCACACAATGTTTAATACTTTGCTATTACAAGTATTTTCCGAAGGATCAGATCACTTACTTATCTCACAGTTCGGACCTTCGTATTCACTAAGGCACTCACACGTATACTCGGCACCATCACTAACACATCGTCCACCATTTGCGCATGGATTTGGCTCGCATGGTCTTGGTATAGCTACAATCAAACGTATTAACACGGAATGAGAACGATGCGGAAACAACAGCTAAATAAAACGATTAACTCAGATATTCCAATAGTCAAGTAATCATACGATGTCAATACACGTCCAAGGAGCAAACAATCAAACAAACTAACATAATTCATTATTAAACTTGATACCACCAGACTGAATAACGCGCATAAAGCATATATTATAGTGATTGACAGATAAACTACATTGTAATTCCGGTGGCATAAACGCGTTACGCAGCTACAAGTAAAACAAATGACATTTACACAGTCCACTTACCTGTTTCACAGTTCGGGCCTTCATATCCATCCATGCAATCACACGTGTATATATCATCCAAATCTACACATTGTGCTCCATTTTCACACGGATTAGGCTCACAAGGTTTAGGTATCGCTATAAGTAAATCATAGGTAAATATTAAAGTCAAACTCATGTCGATCCTTCCGATATAGCGTATTACTAGAGTAATAATATTTGTGACAGAAACGCAACGATGCTGATATGCGTAGAGGGAAGTCACTCTTTAATCTGCGTGATGTGACGTCACTCTTCTTCAAGGCAGATGCCACAGAAGTGTAAATGTATTTCTTAGTACGGCAAATTGTTGGGATAATAATCATTTTATTTAATTGAACTTCGCTCCATCTAAAATATTTCCGTAACCTTATACTTCCAAAATTTAAATCACGGTTATTTTGTGTAGTATCTAACTTAAATTTCATTCTTAGAAGCGATTTGAATTTGTAGACTGCCGCGGTCTCATTTGTTTAATTCGATTTTATTACATACAAAGTGAAGTATGTTCACGGCCAAAAAATGTTAGGACACTCTTATGCAAAACGCCTACCAATGCGAATATAATGTGTCGCAAACAATTTGAGTCAAAGGATGTTTAGTTCCGTGGTGTTGACAGTATAGTCTCTGGCGATTTCTGGCCATGGCGTGGGGAGCCGGGATATGATTGTTAGGAACAAATGATTTGTGTGATTTTTTTATTGACTCATTGCAAATCTCAGGTACAATGGTAGACATCGTTCATCAAATGCATAGAAAATTCAGGGTGAAACAAGTAATTGTCAGTCAAGTCATGAACAGAGTATAACCATTACACAGTTTCGCAGTAACAATGTTAGGGTAGACATTTTAAATCCTACTTTACAGTCTGCCTTAGATGAATGTTTTGGAAGAATATTGGCTTATGGAATTTCTCTCTAACTATAATGTTACCATATTCATTGAACAAATTAGCTAATAGATCGAAGTGTTTGGAGACACTCTTACTCGTACGTTATTAAGATCAGCAAATGTTAGGGCAAGGGTATATAGTTACTATGTGCCAATGTATCTCAGTTGATTGAATGTGGAGTTACGGGAGTGTTTATGCTTTTAATTACCTTATGTTGCAGATAGCTTGATTCTGAATCTATTTGATAGGGGGAGTTTCTGTTTTCTATAAACTTATACTTCATTTAATCAGTTTAGTTTGTTTCTGTGCATTCCTATACAGTCTCATATGGTATACCATAGATTTGCATACAGTCTGTTGTTTAGTTTTGGTGTTTGGTTTCAATAAAACAAAATATCATGGGAGTGTATAAATACCGAAAACGGGTTTACCGCGGAAACCGAGGTACTCCCATATTTTATTTTATTGAAACGCAACACCACAAAAATAAACAAGAGACTAGGAATACCAGTGAATCAACCCAGTATCACACACATTTACAGAAACGGCAACTCTTATTCAACAATCTAATTCGACAGTACTTGAGAAGTTTGTCAACCAAGCCAACTCTATGCTTATAGTTCAAGTTACCATGTCAGTTGCGATGCCCCCAACTGCACCCACACCTACAAGTTGTACAAACATCTTGGCAACTACAACAGTCGTTGCTAATGTTGTTCTGGATACAGTTAATACAATGCCATTTTTTTACATTTAATATTATCTCATTGTGACAATCTGATCATAATTTGTGGCAAGAACGTTTCCATGAAGATAAATGTTTACCAATGTGGTGGAATTTTAAAGCTTTTAGCCCTGCTTTGGAGTGGATGAACAGTTCTACATATTTTGGATGATATCGTATTTGTTAATATGGGTTTTATTAATGTACAAAGAATATTTCTGTAATGAAGTGGGAGTTCCATTAGTCGAGGATAAAATAGAGGGCCCTGTTACTGTTACTTGTTTTGATCAAGCTCATGTAGCACGTGACAAATAATGTTGCATATCTATAATTCAGCAGTTTCGTGCGTGCAAAAAGGCAGCCTTACAGGAAAGCCAATCCTTGGTTGGGATGCTTAATTTTGCTTGTACTGTACTTTTGTAAGGCGTCTCATTGATTTGTGATTGGTAGATACTCGGTCACATGACATTGAATAAAAATGGATATTACATGGTATATCACATGGATGACACATTGTCGTTCGCTGCACTGGTGATGCCCCGGCCGCTGTTGTTTTCGGGCCTGCTTTCAAGGTTTTGAAGAAACTTTAGCCATCCGAAATAGATAGCGAACGTGCCAGAATGGTTATTAATCCGTCATTGAAACGTGGCAGCCGCGCGTTCTACGCTGTGAGCATTTCTACGCGTTCCACGCCGATGCTAACCGAAAACGTCCGAATCTGTGTGACTTGTGAATAAAAGGTGTGATCCTTAAGTGAGAAAGTAATTTTAGTCACTTCCACGGCAATTTGAAATTTTTATCTGACGCGTGATCAAACAACTTGTGTTTGAGAATATTTCAATTCATTTCAAAAATGTTATTCACGATAATTTGAGTGATTCTCACTGCTGAAACACGGTCACAAAAAAGATTATCCGTGACTGAAAATAACATTTACTGCGTGTATATCGTAGTTTTTTCAGCAAACATTGTATGTATGTTATTGAGTAAGCGAAACTTGTTATAATAGATAACAAATTATATTGCATACTTCTAATATAAGTGTTGTTATTTTGTGGGAGAGAGGGTGTGAGTGACGTTAGGTAGCTGTGATTGTCATGGTGGATGTCGTTTTTGATGTGATAAAATAAATAACACATGGTCATTCGGGCAATATCACGATTTGGGCTGTTGGTCATAACCATAATATTGATGATACCCTCGCCTTCGGCTTCGATATAATATTATGGTCATGAACACCATCCCTTGGGCAGGCAACAAATCGTGATATTGTCCTCACAAGCATGGGTTATTATATAAATGTTTAACATCACTGCATCACCAAGTACATACATACCCTTAATTATCAGCAAATTCCCATAAAAGCCCAGATGTTCACATGGGGAAAGCTGTAATCATCACTTTGAAAATATTTTATGGGACTTTATATCTAGTAATACTATTACACACAAACTATTCAACCACATTCACACTGAGTCACAAGGTATGGGTATTTCTAGATATGAAAGATTGGAAGGTGGGAGGTAGAAAGCATTATTCATTATTACGCAATTGCATTTAGATATTACTATCACTTCGTTATATATAACGTTATATGGTTACCAAAGAATACGACTATACTTACCTATTTCACAATTAAGACCTTCATACCCAGTAACACAATTACAAACATAACTATGTGAAGTATTATTAACACATTCGCCACCATTTGCACATGGATTTGAGTCACAGGTTTTGGGTATTTCTAGATGGGATGGAGTGAAAGGGAAGAGGTAAAGTATTTTTATCCTTGGGTTATTCTACAGGGAGGTATTATTTTAAACTGAGGAACAAATAAGATGTTAAACCCTTAATAACCAACTACACATACGTTCATAGAAATTCGTGTCCAAGATTCTGAGTGTGGTTCAAGTATAGGTGGAAGGAAATGAAATATAAAATGGTTTGGAAGATAAAAAGAGTTTGGATATAGCGATATAATTTATAGTAAATTTCCCAAA